TTTCCCATTTTTTTTTTTTTTTTTGGGCACTCCTATGCAATTATGGGTGTCTTCACAAATTTCGTGAAGACTATATATCAATATACAAATATGTTACCTTCTCAAAAAAAAAAAATAATTACAGAATGAAAGTTTCGAAAAAATTGAGCATAATTTTATTGTTTCTTGCTCAGATGTGGCAGTGATTTTGTTGCAGTTTCAGTTGCCTTTTCTTCCGCCACAATGTCATCCTGTGTATTAGTAACTAATAAGGGTACACCAAAAGATAATTCCATGCTGCCATTTTACATTTTATAGTAATATAAAATTCTTTAATCGTTAAATGTTGATCTGGAATGTTTTGAGTTGAAGAGTCACTGAAATGATAGCTACTTTGTTGATTGCAGGTAACTAAAATTGGTCGTGATGCAGTTCTCTATGTTGAATCCCTCATTGAGTCTATCATGGGAGGTTTGGAAGGGTTAATAAATATTCTTGACTCGGAAGGGGGATTTGGCTCTTTAGAGATGCAGGTTAGTATCCTTTATCATGTTCTCAACACATTGAAAGACTGATGTTTTTCTTTTCAAGACTAATTCAAGTGAAATTTCAGCTTTTTCCAGAGCAGGCAGCACATCTCATGAATTTGACTTCCAGAATTTCTGTTCCTTCTGGGAAATCCCCAAGAGCCATGTCTGGTTATCATTTACCAGGCTATGAGAGCTACCCTGAAAATGATAATTCCATTAAAATGTAAGTCATATTAATCTTACATTAGATCTATCTTTCTTACAATTTTGCTTCTTGACTTCCTTGTACTTTGTAATGATAGGTTAGAGNCTTGACTTCCTTGTACTTTTTAATGATAGGTTAGAGGCTGCAATGCAGAGGTTGACCAACCTTTGCTCAGTTTTAAACGACATGGAGCCTATCTGTGTTCTAAACCACGTTTTTGTTCTGAGGGAGGTAAGAAACCTCTCATCTTTCCATCCTTGAAATGATTGTGTCAGAGATGTCTAGATCTCGATCATTATTGTGTCTAGATCTCGATCATTATTGTGTCTTACTCCCTCCGTTTCATTGGACACGGAGTTCAAGAAAGAAAGGGAGACTTTCTGATTAATAAACTGAGACTAAATATTCTTGAATCAGGTTTTTCTTTAGTCCATGGAGACGAACTTTAAGTTAACCCTCTCTAAAAAATTTCTTACTAATATTTCATACTGAAAAATTATTTATGCTGCAGTACATGAGAGAATGTATCCTAGGGAACTTCAGAAGGAGACTGCTTGCTGTTCTGAAAAGTGATAATGATCTTCAGCGTCCTACTGTCTTGGAATCACTGATACGCAGACATACAGCTATTGTTCATCTAGCAGAACAACACATTAGCATGGACCTGACGCAAGGTATCCGAGAGATATTACTTATGGAGACATTCTGTGGTCCAGTTTCATCTTTACACTTGTTTGAGAAAGCTGCAGAGCAGTATACAGGATCAGCTACTGAAACTGTATGTAATTGGTACATTGAAAACGTGGTCAAGGACGTCTCAGGCGCAGGTATCCTCTTTGCGCCTCGGCACAGATGCTTCAAGAGCACGAGGCCAGTGGGCGGATATTTTGCTGAGTCAGTGACAGATCTCAGGGAGTTGAAAGCCTTTGTTCGTGTTTTTGGTGGTTATGGAGTCGACAGGTTAGACAGAATGATGAAAGAGCACACAGCTGCACTCTTGAACTGTATTGACACATCATTACGGGCAAACAGAGAGAATCTGGAGGCTGTTGCTGGACGCATGCATTGTGGTGACCGGATAGACAGAGACACAAATATCAAGCAAATTGTTGATTTGGACACTATGGTCGGGTTCTGTATTCAGGCTGGACAGGCCATTGCTTTTGACCGCCTTCTTGCAGAAGCTGGTACGGCTGTGCTTGAAGAAGGTGCTCCTTTGATACATTCATTACTGACAGCGGCTGCTAAGCATTTACCTGATGAAATACCTGAGAAAAAGGAGATTAGAAGGTTGAAAAGAGTAGCAAACAATTTTAATATAGCTGGTGACCATGACGCTGAGTGGGTCAGATCCATACTAGAAGAGGTTGGAGGTGCAAATGATGCTTCCTGGAGCTTGTTGCCGTATTTGTTTGCGACTCTAATGACATCTAACATATGGAACAGTAGTGGCTTCAATGTTGACACTGGGAGCTTCAACAACAACATCTATTGCTTGGCAAGGTTCATTTCTTGCTTAAAATCTCTTGTGTGTTAAGTTATAAGGAAGTTTGGCTCCTCCATCTTTCTACAGTTTTTTCTTAGTTATGCTGGTTTCTTTCCTTTCTCTTTTTGCTGTGCATCCCTTGATCCCCGTTTTTCAGTCTTGTGATCATATGTTGCACGCTTTATATAATACCTTTGGCAGTTTTTGCTGTCTATGGTGCTAAACCTTTTTCTGTTTCAAGGAGTAATTTGATTTGGGTTCTTTTGGAGTCAGAGAAGAAAAAAGAAATTTAACTGTCTCAATGTGACTTATTTGGTAAACTCTAGTTTTATGCCTATATCAAGTTAACTAACAGTTGTTTCTTGAAATCCAGTCATGGATGGCAAGGTAGATCATCATGTGACTAGTACTGGGCAATGCTTGCGTATGCTTAAAAACCTTTGTTTTTCTTTCATGAAGTATGCTTAAAAACATTTCAAAAGTTAAGTGCTTTGGCTTTCTGGTTATCCATTATTCTCATTCTGTAACTTGGTTTTATTCTGGCAGGTGCATTTCAGCAGTAATTGCAGGAAGTGAATTTGTTAGACTTGAAAGAGAGCATCAGATGAAACAATCCTTTTCAAATGGCCATGTTGGCGAGACATTGGATCCTGAAACACACAACCGATTAACTGTTGAGACAAACATAAAATCCACAATGCAGCTCTTTGTGAAGTTCTCATCTGGAATTATACTCGACTCTTGGGGTGAGAACATCAGGTATGTTCATGTCTCTAAAGTGTCTACATAAGGTCATCGTAAAATTGTGAAAATCGAAAACTACTCCCTTCTTTTTTGTTCACTCGAGTGTTAGAAATACTGCTAATAAAATCATATAGATAGCCTGTGCAAAGTTGAAAATAACTAAAGGCCAATTAAGTCGCACCACACCTCTATTGGCAATTTATTAACCATTGGTTGGTCTAGTTTTGAACTTGATGAGCACTAAGAGACAATCCTATATTAACTGACTTGTTTCTTTCATATAGCATCATGCATTGACATGGGTTGATTTCTAACTTGTCTTATAATGTTCAAGAATCTGAAATGTGTGTATACCTCTTCTGCTCAGATCCCATCTCGTGTCAAAGCTCATTTTCCTGGACCAGTTTTGTGAGATCTCTCCTTACCTACCAAGGAGCACACTGGACGCCTATGTTCCTTACTCCATTATCCGCTCAATATACANGGAACTTCCTATATCCAGCCTCTGCCAATTCAATGATCGACACCCTCAACCAAACCAACATGGTCTGGAGAGATGTCACTGGTTCTTATCCTTTTGAAGAACTGCAATATGTTGCTTGAGCCTTTATTTTAAGTTTTTCTTACCATGAGAGAAACATGAGGTATTTTTACCAAATAGTAGCCCATAGCAGAGGGGAAGAACAAGAAACCAACAAAAAGAAGATGAAAATCCCTTCCAGGGAAAGCTAAACAACAGTTGTGCAACGTTGCTTTGGGTTACTGGTATAGTTATGGCCTGGGATTTGTAGCAACTCATAAACTCATTATCTTCTTTTGCATCATCAATCAAGTCTAATGTACAAACTCCAACTTTAGGTACGTTGGCAAATTTTGTATGCATATACATTACATATATATCATCAGTATTGGAAGACGATCTATTATCATGTATCTCCCATTTAGAGTAATTTAGCAAGATCTTATCGAAGATGGTGCCTGCAAAGATGGTACGACATCAGTGGAGAAAACTAAAAGCTAGAATGATATTAGAAATTAAAACAAAGAAGATAGAGAAAGAAAAGGGGAGGCACCTTAAAGTTTCTTTTGTTCCACGACGAACTTTGCAACGAATAGTTGGAAGGCCAAGCTGCTGATGAGCTTCATAGCGATGACAACCAGAAAACCCTGGACAAGACAAGAGACCGTATTTTAATTCTCTTTAGCAATTAAAGATCAAGTATCAGTTGAAAGATCACAATGAATAGCTTAATGCTTAGGCAAGAAGTTGAAAAGAAGACATACCGTAGTAAACTCCATCCACCTCAAGCACATCAATCTGCATAAGATATAAAACTGTCTCTGAGTCTAATATTCACCCGCAGACGGGTTAACATGAACTAAGGCAAAACTTCTATTGGTAAGTACTTTAACCGTGCATATACAAAAAGGAATTGAAGTGTCAAAAGCGACTTTCCCATAATTAACTAATAAAGGACAATGTTTTGAGATGTCAATCTGTTAGCAAGGGATTGCTGGAAACTTAGTTCAAGCTGGGGCATAAGATCTATGGCTTACGCCCTACAAGAAATTTTAGGACTTGATTATTTTCTTGAGGTTATAGGTCATCAGATAGGAAATTAGGAAGTGGGAGTTGAATAAGTCATGAATCTAAGGACAAACAAATTCATTCACAACGACGCGAGTACATTCTCATCTCCACTTATGTTTGAAGACAAAATAATATCAAATCATGTGAAAAGTAAATGACAGCAAAGGATTTGTAATTACAGGTACTTGAAGCCCGATTTCCTTAATACTATCCATCAGTTCCATCACTTTTTGCTGGTCATTAGCTCTGGTACGCATGAGTGGCCGTCGGATTTTATCAAGGGGAAGTTCAAGAATCACTGGCCCTGCTGATTGAGGCACACCAGGAGTCGACCCTGAAACCATATTATAATTTAGAAGAATAACTTTAAGAAACAGTTAAAAGCATTAAGAACTCGAAGATGTTCTTTCACTCACAACAAGTTTACATGACCAACACAAGCACACACAACTGATAGGTTTAGGAGTAAAGACTTTGCATTTCAAAGAAAACATTGAAAACCCAACTTGGTATATATAGGCTCACTGAACATTTAGTATGAACAGGAGAGAAAACCGGATTCATTAACTACATGATTCCTGTAATTATGCTTTCAGTTTCGGTTTCCTGGTTTGCAGCTGGGGATTGTTGCAAATTTGCAATGAGAGAAACTAGGGGTGATCTCCTAATTCTCTGAAGTAGGTATGTTTCATTCTTTATGGCTATTTTGCTCGGACTTTTCAAAGTTGCTACCGGGTGCGTGTCGGATCCGCCAAAAGTAGTGCATTTCTGGAAGACCCAACATGGGCACGGCAGCATCTTTGGAGAGTCCGAGCAACATAGCTTTATGGTATTCGCCAGCAAAAAAACGATGCATTTTCCTCCGTATGTTGTACAATGATATAAAGATTAAAATTCTATTACCATTATTTTTCTCTGCTTTTATTTACTTATGCAACAATTAACAATTTTGAGCAAGAACCCAGAAATGCCTATGCTAAGCTCAACTCAAAGAGCACAGCCTTTAACCAATTTGACTATTATGGATACACTAATTGTTTGTATTACGCAGAGTCCATAACTGGTTATGCCAGAATAACCAATATATAATGTCTATACCAAGAAAATATTCCCAGCATAAATCTCTACAACACTATTAAATCCAAACAAAGACATGAAGCAAGATATGTATCATTAAAATAACTCAATTATGAGGCAATTCAATCAGAACAAATTTGGTTGATAGGGGTTCATGCTAAAGAACAACACAAACAAACAAACAAAAGCACACATCTTTGGCAATTTTAGAAGCAACGAAATAGCATTTCATAATATAAAAAAAGAATCTTTGATAACCCAAATTGGTTTTTATCTAAATTGTGCTCACATAACAGTTATATATACTACAATCACTTGATTTGAGCAGAAACCCATAATTATTATTTTGGGCTAAACTCTACTAAAAGAACAGATAAATCTTTTCTTTAAGTACAGATTTTTAGCAGAAATTCTCAACAACAATGTAATATTGTAGGAAGGCACAAGGATACCATTAAAGGAGGATGAGACAGTGCAGCTCCGCAAACGCAGGTTATTTGGAAGTTGCAATACAAAATTCGCCATTTTCTCTCTTTAACTTCTTGAATCTTACAGAATCTGATGATATGAATATGAAGGGACCTCTTGTGTTTGAAGCTGACATGACTGTCATAAATATTTGACGAATTATTCTACACTTTGAAAAAAAAAAAAAAAAAA